TATAGAGAGAGAGAGAGAGAGAGAGAGAGAGATCGTATATCATGTATATATGAGCAAGAATATTCTGAGCAATTACAGAATGTTACATTATTCCAGAATAATGGAATGTTAGAATATTCCATTGATATAAAATGTTCAGAACAGGAAAATCCAGAGACAGAAAATATATTAGTGGTTCCCTTAGGACTAAGTGAGAGATGAGGTAGATGTGGGGATGGGAGATAACAAATGAGTCCAGGATTTTATTTTGGGGTGTTCAGATTTTTGTAAATTTAAACTATGCTGATACTTTTTTTCAATTGAGTTTATTGGTACAATCTAGGTATACAATACGGTTACATTCATCATTGGGATTCTGTACCTTTACATAATACGTCTTGATTCTCATTTTTTCCCCTTGTCCCTGCCCTCCCTTCATCCCCTCCTCCCTGCCCCATTTACAAACACTTTATTTCCATTTTTTCAGTTTCTCATATTTTTTTTCCTCGCCCTTATTACCCTTTCCCCACCCTTCCCACTTTCCCTACACCTTTAGCCCTTTACTTCCTATTTCATATTATTGATTATCTCATTAGGATCCTGTGTACTATTATAGTTTTTCACACCAAAGAAACTATTCAGTATTTCAGTTAAAGAAATCTCTATATGAACATTAAAAATAGGGAATCCTAAAATAAAACTAAAAAGGAAAGTAAAAGAGAAAGGGCAATGATGTAACATTAAAATAATCCTTAATTCTGGAGATGAAAATGGTCCCTGAATATATTTAAATTGCTTCTTGCTCTTATAGTCTTATCTTATTCTTTTTTTTCATTATTTAGAGAATACTTTATTAGTTTCTGTAATCAAACCCACGTAGATATGACCTTACATATTTAGTACGATGTGTTACCCCTGTACACATGGAAAAAAAATAAAAAATAAAAATAAAAATAATTAACATTTCTAGACCAATATGGCTGTCCATTTCTGTACAATGCCAACTCAACACAGTAAATTGGGATGACTTTTTCCAAAGTTGGCAGCACCGTTAAAATTTCCCATCATTCAATTTATATATATTTATATTTATATAAAAAGACTAATAATAGTGTGTTATACATCGATAGCAGCAACAGCTTTTCCAGGTTCTGCAGTCATCTGAACAAAATTATAGACATTCAGCACATTCCATTAAAAACAGAACAACAACAACAAAAAAACAAAAAAACAAAGAAAAGAATAATATCCAGAAAACAGCAAAATTCTGTTGCTGTTGTGGTACCTGGGACCATTTGTTTTTTATTAGCATCTTAATCATCATCTGGAAAGAGAACATTCTAGAGTAATATCATTAAATGTAGCTCTGATAAAGCATGGTCCCTGGTCCC